CCCCCCCCCCCCCCCCGGTCGTCCCACCCCATGTCAGCTTCGCGGTCTGGCTCGGGAATCTGCCCAGATACTGCTTTGTATCGGAAACCAAAATTATAATCGCAAACTTCGGGGGGTTATATCATATAACCGCAGACAGCATGCACAAAATATAGCCTCTACTGGGCTTTACCGCGCCCGAGGCCCTGCATAACAAGGGCCGTTGTCCCTCGTTCGGCTCCGACATATGGGCCCGAGCCTGCATCATATGGGAGATCTGCAGTGGCGCCCGCCTTTCCAAGACGCCTTCCACACCAAGAGCGACCAAATAATTTGGTATTTTGTATTAACCCTGGGGAAGCTTCCGCCGAAGTGGTGGGACAAGTGGAAGGGGCGGTTAAAATACTTTACCAAGGATAGCGCCATACTCCCCAATGCGCACCCACTTCCACATTGGCCTTTAAGGTAATGCTACGGTATATGCTGGTGTACAAGCCCGAAGAGCGCCCGACGACGGCGGAGCTGCTTCGCTGCGAGTGGATGGTCAAGTGGGCACTACCTAAACTAAGGAATTCCCCTTGCGCCCACTTGATGGCAAGGTCAAAAGCCTACGTACCGGGCTTGTCACAGCTTGGTGGAGATGCTCCAGCGGTTTAGTTCGTCTTAGCACAAATCTCCGAGATGCGTCAAGCATGCACTGGGCTGCCTCCGAATGCCCACGTCAAACAGCCAGATCTTTTGCTCTGGTACCACAACACCGCCTCATGGCGCAGCCATCGGCTAGGCGCAGAGAGCGTGCGTGGGCTACTCGTGGGAGCAGAAGAACCTAGCCGTACTTACAAAACTAGAGCAGGTTTCGTTTTGCAACGTTGGATCCACATTAGCATTGTAATCCGCACGTAGTTCAAGGTGTAGATGGTGTTAGATGCTTGGGCGTCTACACACCAAGAGGCAAAGTTTTGTCATGTCCCCTTCTCCTTGTTCCTATTCTCCATCCCCACGTTTCTTGTCCTTCTCTGCTCCCCCCTCTACCAGAGTTCGTGCTGTTGCATTTCTCCAATATCCGCCGTCTCCTCCATTTCGTCCCTTTGAGGCTTCGTCGGACTTCCTCGATCTTGCTCGTCGATGGCTTCAAGCAGGTGGGCCGTAGTAATCAGACCGCCTGCAATGCGAGCAGCCGCAGTCTGCAGCATTGCAGCGGTATCTGGATCCGTGGTTGTGGTGAAAGCCGCACATCTTGACAAAGATTGTTAGATGGGTGCATGCTGTGGCGAAAGGAAACGAGGACGCTGAATACCATGTCCTTTGGGCCTGTGTTCGAACCTGGGTGTGGCCGTGCGGAGTCGGGTATCAGCTCGAGGTTGATGCCGGGAGACCAGAAGATTCTGATTCTAGACTGAATGGATGCTGAAGAAGGATGCTGAGGGTTAGGAGGGCCTAGGATGCTCGCCGAGCTTGCCAGACAGTCCGTGACGGTGGGCGTTGTTTTTATACTGGCATCTTCCTGTCATTCTGCCCTCCTCTCTTCGCTATTGGAGTTGGCGGTTAGGTTTCATCTGCTCTCGTCTTCCTTTAGTAGCTACCTGCCTCGCAAATATTTGCTTGGTGAGGGGCGCTTAAGGAAGTGCGCAAAAGTCCAAGCCAGCACCAATACGCGCCTGTCAAGGCGCCCCATCGTGCCTGCCATATCTGTGCCCATGCCTAATAAACCATTGCCCAGGTTCTGGTAGGCATCGAACCTCGGGGGTCAAGTTGGTGTAGCGGTTATGAGGATGGGTCGAGTCGACACCGGGACCCTACCTGTACTCCGATACGTTAGCCTCTTGCGCTGGGGTTCGATCCCCGGTAGGGGTTATGTCGGATTTTCCGTCGCGAAGAAAACGTCCCAAGTGGGAAATTTCGTAGCTGCCCACCCTCGAGGCTGGGCAGTAAGCTTTTTTGCTTTTCTTTTTTCTTTTTTCTTTTCCCCTCTTCGTCTTCCTCCTCGTCTTCCTCCCCGTATTAGCTGCGCTGTACGGCCACACCTGGTTTATATGCTCAGAGCCGATATCATGTGCCTCGTATAGCTGGCTCTTGTTTAGCTACACAACCTTAACAGGCTGCCCCAAAACTTGCCGCCCCCTCGGCGTCAGATCGGATTTATGGCCTGCGAAATGGTCTTGGAAATCTTGGTGTCGGTGAAGTTTTTAACATAATCATGGGCGGCTATGTGGGTGCCCATGGCTACATCATGCTTACTCTTAAAAGAAAGAGTGAGGTTTGGTCCTTTGGGGTCGGGCTGGTATATGCCATTGTGAAATATGGTATGGTGATTTAGCGATCTAGCATATTGAATTGCCATTTGCTAGTTGATTTCTTTTTACAACACGTTTCTGGGGGTTGTATATGTACCTGATGGGGATTGCTTTCGGGTATATATGCCCGGCGTAGGCTGTTTGGCACCCAAGGCCCATACACTGCCGCAGTAGCTTTTCCCCCGTACACTCCATGCCCGGGTCGACGTAGTATTTGATCAGATGGATGTGTGATATGATGGCTGCCGATTCGTTAATTTACTAAATTTACCAAGGAAACTCTTGCGCGAAAATGGGCGATCCGGATGCTTGGCCGCCACGGAACACCAGATTTGCGTTTTCGCGGCCAGAAAAATCGCTGCCCGCTCAACATAAACAACAATGCGACCTCCTGAATTCTCGTCGACCGTTGTGGCTTCCGTCAAACCGCCTTTTTTGTACACACGGCCGGGGCTGGCAGGTGCTTCGGGCTTCCTGCTCCTATCCAACTGAGATCCAGGATTTCTCTCACGTCTCATTCATCGCGTGATACAACCATCTCCTCGAACTTTGCGCTGTCAGCGCTCCGTCGCTTGACGATTACCGCTTTGGGTTCGTTGCGCTGGCCCACTAAAATTCCACGCTTCAATCCGGGCTGTCCCCGCGGCGGGGAGGATTTTTGTAGCAGCCCACTCCCCCAACCGTTCGGGAACCTTCACATTGACGCCATTGCAGCACGCGACACCTGGAAAGACCGATCCACAAACTAGACTCATCGCGCTAGCTAAGCAAACAAAATGGAAGACGCAGACTTGGAGCAGGTTGGGTTCTCCCCTGGCTTATGTGTTTACGGATAGGTAGTTGAGTCGCAGCCGCTGACGGTGGTGCATCCCCAGATCCGCAAAGCTCGCCTCGAGCAGCTCAAGGCTCAGGGTGGGGCAGGCAACAAGGCTGGCGGCGGCGGCGGCCAGGCCCAACAAGCAGAGCAGAAGAGGTGAGCGATGGGCTTTTTTCCGGGGGTGTCCGAACACGTCCAGACAGGAGCAGCGAAACTGACAAAAACACACTTTCGTGTCCTGTCTTCGCCGCAGACAGCAAGAAGGTAAAATCAAGCCATGAACCCCTCGAGGCTGCGCAGGCTCACCCACCCCCAACCAACTAATACCCACCTCCTCTGCCACACACAGCCGACGCCCGCAACGGCATCCTCAACCAGATCCTGCACCCGGAGGCCATGGACCGGCTGGGGCGCATCCGGCTCGTCAAGGAGTCGCGGGCGACCGAGGTGGAGAACCGGCTGATCATGATGGCGCAGTCGGGCCAGCTGCAGCAGAAGGTCACCGAGGACCAGCTCAAGGAGCTGCTCAACGCCGTCTCGGACAGGCAGGAGGAGGAGAAGATTGTCGTCAGCAGGCGCAAGGGCTGGGCCGACGAGGACGACGACGACCTGCTAGATCTATGAGGCTGGGACGGAGCTTGAGCCGAATTTTACTTTCTACGTTTTTCTCCCCGCGCAAGGGTACCCACTGGTCAGATGAGATATTAAGCCCAAAGTGTTCTCCCGTGGATATGAGTTTACAGTAATGTACAACATTAATCGTTTTTTCTCTCTCTATTCGCCACTCTCTTTTCATGTGCCAGTCGTAGTCATATGACCGGACCCGACTCCGAAGGTGGAGCCGTTGATGATATGGGAGCCTCGTGCGGGCGCGCAGCCGCCTCGGCCATCTGCTTCCGCCTGCGCCTCTCCTCCCTCTCGCGCCTGCGCGCGTCCCGCATGTCCGGGGGCGCCTCGACGCCCAGCTCGCGGCGCAGGTCGACGACGTCCCACTCGAGCACCTCCTCCCAGTAGACGTTGATGACGTCGGCGGACCGCAGGCCGTTGCGAACGGCCCAGGGCAGGTACGTGCTCACGAAACGCCCCCTCTCGCCGGGCTTGAGCGTGAAGGCGGCCAGGGTGGCAAGCCCCGTCATGGGCAGCAGGGTGTTGCAGAACTCAAAGGCCTTGAGGGCGACCTCGCCCTCGCGCACGGCGGGCAGGCCCGTCAGGGCGTGGTAGAAGTCGTGGCACTCGCGGTAGCGCTGCAGCACGTAGGCGCACTCCTCGTCGTCGACGTGGCGCACGGCCGCGCGCGTGTCGGGCGTCACGCCCTCGCGGTCCAGCCACCCGACGTAGGTGCGCCCCACGGTGCCCGCGGGCAGGGCGCGCAGGCGGGGGAGGTCGAGCGAGGCGGACGTGATGCGCGGGCGGTCGCGGAGGATGCGGCGGCCGGTCGGGTGCGAGAGCATGGCGTCGCGCAGGCGCGGGACGAAGTAGGGCGTGGCTGTCGCCTCGGCAAAGGCGGCGATCAGGTCTGGAGTGGGGGAGAAAGGGGGGTGCGTGAAGAGCGTTCGGTTTTTTTAGTTCCTGCCAGACGGAGAGTTGCGGTGCTGTGATGTGATGGCTGTTAGCCCACCTCCTCGCCTTGGGTCGATGATGGACCACAGTCCGGAGCCGATGGCAAGCCCGGCTCGCTCGAGGCCGGTGAGCGGGACATGGCCGGGATAGTTTGGCGGCGGGCGGTTCAGGACCGAGAAGCTCTGCCGGCGGCGGGCGGCGACCGAAGTGCCCGGAAATGCGACGAGGGCAAGCCTCTGGCAGGCGGGGCCTCGAGAAAGAGCCCTGAGGCTGCTTCGGACTGGCGAGACGTTCATGTTTGCGGTTGCTCAATCGGACAGCAAAACAGACAGCGGAGGCATGGTTGTTTCTACCCGCGTCTTTTTTTCGGGAGCTCAGTGGTTCGATAATCTGCACGGAATCGCAGTCCATCGCGAATTCAATTCCGGCCAAGACAAACGGCAGGGGACGCCTGCCAGACCCACATCGGGAAAGTGGAGACTCGGCCGTGCGCAGCGATGCCGTCTCCCGGGAGCTACTCCATGATTTCTCCCTTGCCCTCAAGCGACCGCCGCCATGCCGTCAAGGGAGAAGAGACGTGCATGCCAATCTGAAGAGTGAGTCACGGCCTGACCACTACCAGCTCAGCTATCCAAGATGCGATTACGCCAAAGACCTGGGTCCGCGTCTGCTTGCATTTCCAAGAAAGCCGCCTGAAAAAGCGCAGTGGCTCATCCTCAGGCTCTTCAGGCTCGCCCGAGCTATCAGCTTGCTACCTACCTATACACATAAAACACTGCATAATATCTAGAGCTATAAGCAGATAAGCAAGCCATGGAGTCCCACGAGCTACTTCTGCAGTGGGCAGAGGCACAAGGCATAGAGCTCAGGGGCATCCGACCAGACCGCATCCCTGGCCGAGGCATAGGCATCATCGCGACCAGAAAGTTAAAGGTAGATATACCCGTCTGGATCTCCCGAAATCACATATACAAGCCGCTAACTCGGGGTCCAACCCACCCGCTCAACAGGAAGGCGAGCTCCTCCTCAGGGTGCCGACCACGGCGCTCCGGACAAAGTTCACGGTGCCCAAGGAGATCACGCGAAGGCTGCCGCGCACCATCAGTGTGCACGGGCTGCTGGCGGCCGATCTGGCCCTGGACGCGTCGGGCCGGTACGACGAGTGGAACGCGGTGCTGCCGAGCCCGGCCGACGTCGAGGCCATGCCCTTCTGCTGGCCCCGGGAGCTGCAGGACCTGCTCCCCCGCCGCGCCGCCGAGCTGCTGCGCAAGCAGAGGGCAAAGTTTGCCCGCGACTGGGAAGCCGTCTCCGCCGCGGCCTTCTCCCTGCCCCGGCCCGCCACCGTGGCCCCCGCCACGCCCATCCCCAGCTCCTCCCCCGCCGACACCGACGCCAAGCAGGACTCGCAACAACAACAGCAGCAACAACACCACGATACGCAGCCCCTGGACGAGGCCCGGTACAGGTACGCCTGGCTGCTGGCCAACACGCGCACCTTCTACTACGTCGACGCGCGCACGGCCCGGCTCCCGCGCGAGGACCGCATGGTGCTGCAGCCCGTGGCGGACCTCTTCAACCACGCCACCGGCGGCGGCTGCTGCCCCGTGGCCTTTGGCGACGCCGACTTTACCGTCCGAAGCGGCGCCGCCCACGAGGCCGGCGCCGAGCTCTCCATCTGCTACGGCAACCACAGCAACGACTTTTTGCTGGCCGAGTACGGCTTCGTCCTCGACGGCGATGGCGACGGCGGCGGCAACCGCTTCGACGAGGTCTGCCTCGACGACGTCCTCCTGCCGCGCCTCTCGGCCCGCCAGCGCGACCTGCTCGAGGCCCGCGACTTCCTGGGCAACTACGCGCTCGACCGCCAGACGGCGTGCTACCGCACCGAGGTCGCCCTGCGCCTGCTGACCTGCTGCCCCCCCGTCGTCGTCGTCGTCGTCGTCGTCGACCGCCGCCTGGGAGGCCTTTGTCGACGGCGGCGAGGGCGGCGAGGGCCGCCAGAAGGAGGCGGCCGACCG